AAGGATGGTCCTCTCTAAGACCTACAGTGTCCATTTGCTTGAAGCCATTTTACTTTACAGCTCAGAAACCTGTCAGGTAACCAAGACCAATGCCCATAAACACTTCAGACATTTACTAACGTCTCGGGAACATCCTCAATATCAGGTAACCTGAAGTCATCTCCAATGACCAACTATGGGACAGGACCAGACGAGCCCTAATTGAGACTGACATCAAGAAATGGAAATGGGGATGGATTGGCCACACCCTCTGCAAGCCTACTTCTAGTGCCACCAAGCAGGCCCTAGACTGGAATCCACAAGCAAAAAGTAGGCTGGCCAAAACAGACATCAATAAGTTATCCTGAACAGCTTCTCATCTAGATTCTTTTGTACTAATACAGGTCCCTCAGATCTCCATCCTATTTTGTTTTTAATTTTCATTAATGACCTTCTTAATGACATCAGTTCTCAACTTTGTATCTATGCTAATGACACAAACATTTACTCCTGCCTTGATAGTAAGTCTGATCAGTTTGATATGGTCAAATTGGCAGCTGATATAAAACTGGTTCAAGAGGTGACTTGTTAATTTTAATGCCTCTAAAAGTAAACTACTCTCCATTAACCATATGAGAGAACCCTCATGGCTGATGTTAACCTCCAGGAAAGTGACTTGTACGTCTTCTCAGGCTAACGTTCTTGACTGACATGAAGTGGAAAGACTATATTGAATCCATTACTTGGTCAGTTGCTAAGAAAGTTGGTCCGCTGTATCATGCAAGACAATTTTTCTCTCCAGAATCTATCTTGCATATCTATAAGTTACCATTTGACCATGCTGCCATATATGGTCTGGTATTCCTGCTATTTACCTTGAGATAAAATCCAAAGAATCAGCTATATTATTGGTCTTGACCTGGCATCTCAGCTTCTATCAATTTCCTACCACCACAAGATTGCCTCCCTGTGCCTTTTCTAAAAATACTTTCATGGTAATTGTTTATATGAACTCTTTGCTATGGTACCGAGACATTCTGAATTTAATCACAGTACTTGACTGGTGTCGAGATCTCATCAATTTACAGTAAAGTTGACTAGATGTAACCATAAATTTTATGCTAACAGTTTTTTTCTCTCACTTCTCACTTCCGGCTCCATGTTTTCCAGCCAACTTTAATCTTCAAAAATTTAAATGCAATGTCAATTACTATCTACTGTCCTCCTGATTACTCTTATTTTATTCTCAGTCCTTAGTAATGTTTCTGTTTCTAACTCTTCCACACCCAGTAATCCCTTGGGTCTTAGTGGCTTTATTGCCATGCTTGGAGTTAACTTAATTAAAAAACAATGACAATTTCTGTCATTTTTCATCATTTTTATCCACTGAAAGAATGATGATGATGATTATGGTGATTCCTTTCAAGGAAATGAATACCATATGCATGCAAGTAGATTATTTTTGGTTAATAATGGATTGTACTGGTCCAGAAACACTCTCTTTATATTGTATGCAAGATCTAGTGACAAGGTGGGATCCAGCTGGTAGAGGATTAGTTGTTGTGACTGATCAGATCAAGATTTGATACAAGGAATGGTTTTCTCACAATCATGGTATCAGTTTGAACTCAGAGTTTCCTTCTGGTAAATTGACTACCTCTCATAACTAGGGGGAGTAGAGATAAATTCATGCCTTTTCCAAGGGCATTAGTTCAAAGTGAATGCAGTCAACTCAACAAAATTAATTCTATGAGATACCATTTTGCTTGACCCTACCATCTGTAAAATGGTGAATGAATGATGGATTATTGGTGGGAAGGTTCAACTTCTACTGCTATATCACCAACATCTATTTGTTTATAGTAGCAAGGTGACCCACTATTGCCTGGAGCAAAATGGCCCTTGAATGATGATCTACTTTTGAAGCAAATAGAATTTACATGCAGATTGATATTTTTGTCTTTTTCTAGGAATCTCCAAATTATGATAATGTACAGAAGCTGACATATCTTCAGATGTGTATGGAAGAGACGTTGCGAATGTATCCAATTGCTGCCATGTAAGTCTACTTTTAGAATTTGTTTGTTTCTCATTTAAATAAGATAAAAAATAAGTTTATTGACATGACCTTTGTATCAAAGTCTAAGAACAGTTAAGTAAAATATTATGGAAAATAATATGGAATTGAAACAAAAAAAAGTTAAGAAATAACACCAATTTAATAAAATACTTAATTCTTCATTAAACAGTGCTTCTCTTTATTTAGTGGTAGGTCCTTTGAAATACAACTTGAACAGCTTTATTTTACTTATTTGTTCGAATTATCACTTTATTCCAAAAATTGTGTGAAGGTAGAATGGGAAATTAACTGAGGAAAGAAGTTTCTTCTTCAGTCAAACAAGGCACTCATTTCATTTGAACTACATGACAAGATCTGACCCCTTTTAATTCCATTTACTATTTTTTCCTGTGAGCTGCTTGTCACATTCATTTTCATACTTCAATCTATATAATCTAATCATACATATACATAAATCACATGAGCAGATTACATGCTTTAATTTCAATCCACTAGATTTAAAATTGCACTGCCATAAACTTCTGAGGTCAAGATACACTGTTGAAGATAATACAATTAACAATATTTTATTTTCATTAGTTTGTAAAAGTTTTCAATGATTGAGTGTGTGAGAGTTTACTGTTACATGTGTTGATAAATATTGTTGTGTCTGTATAAGGTGATAATGTCACTAACATGCAAGGGGTTACTGGGAGTAAAAGAGAAAGAGAAGATTTTAAGAGAAGGAACTGGAAACCGAATCCTAAACAGGAAGCAAGGGATAAAACTCTACTCCTGTTCAAAGATGGGAAGGAGTGTGAACTGGGTGATATGTGAACCTATCTACTCCCATTGTACCAATTCTGTATTTTAATGAAAAGAAAAATGTTTTAATTTTGACTGCATTAAATCCATGTTTGTCTATGAATGATTCAAATGAGTAAACACATTATCTTTATGTTATAATCACTGTTTCAGCCAAGTTCTCCCACCTTCTTCAGGTATACAACTGTATCCAATTATCTTTGAAAAGAATCCTTTATGAAATCCATCATTTTTCAGCAAATTCTGGATATCACTCCAACCATTTTTTTAGTGGCTTTATCACTTTGCTTGGAGTGAAATGATTTTTTAAAAATAATGCAACTTCTTTTTCTAAAAGCATAAAATGAAAACATCATATTTGAGTTTTGTTTTTAACAGCTTTTGTAAAGTTTTGTGAAATTAAAATTTCATTTTTTTGTCAACTAATGCTAAATTTTTATTTTTAATAACTAATGTTAAATTTTTATTTTTAATAAATTTTCCTTTTTCAGGTTAATAAGGGAATCGAAAGAAGACTGCATTGTGAAAGGAATGAAAATTCCCAAGAATACAGGTGTCATGTTTCCAATCATGTGTTTACATTATGATCCAAGATATTGGACTGAACCGGAAAAGTTTGATCCTGAACAGTGAGTATCAAGCAGCTAAGTGGTGAGACAAGTAATCTGGAGGAAGTAAAAATCTAGTTTCAAATCATTGCTAAATTCGTTCATCTTAACACTTCTATAAGACAACCACAAGACCTTCAAATTTTAGTTCGTATAGTGAATAAAGGTCAAGTGGGTAGCTAATAAATTCAATATAAAATGACAAAAGCTAATTTATTTAATATCAAAATAATTATTCTTCTATGTCAGTTTATACAGCATTTAATATAAATGCCTCCAGTATAGAGGACACAAGAAAAAGGAATAGAAGGCCTCCTCCATCTACCAAAGGTGAACTGACTCGTTAATGCCTGTGTTTTCCCATAACGTTTCTTTCATTATATTATCATTTACTTTTCACACAAAATTCATACAGTTGTGTAAAATAAAAATGTCAATAGATCTGAAAATTTCTTCTTGACTGACTTCAACAGACTTTTCTGACTCACTTGGAGTTCTTTATTTAAGGTGTCTTGCCTAGTTCATTTGTGTTGCTGGTTGTGTTTTATTTACTCCACAACATATTATCATTTACTTTTCACACAAAATTCATACAGTTGTGTAAAATAAAAATGTTTATAGATCTGAAAAGAATTATTGTGTTGGTGCAAAATACACACGTTCAATCCAAACTCACTAATCATCAAGAAAGTCCATTTTGTTTATTTTTATCAGTTTGTGGTTTGTATATTTGCCTTAAGATTTCTTAGATTGATTCCAATTTCTAAATGGGGAAAAAAACCTCTTTAATTCTTTGGTTAAACAACTGCCAAATCTGTTTTGTATGAGTCAAAGAAACTTTAGGAAGAATAAATTGGATGAGATCATCAGGAACTGCTTTATTAAAAATATCTGATGATCCAAAGTAACATTCTCCTTAGTTAAAGAGCAACCATTTTTTTTCAAGAGAGTCAAAACATTTCCTTGAATAAAGAAATCATCGAATGCTTTCATAAATATGATGAATATTTTTGTCATTACAGCTTCAGTGAGGAAAACAAAGCCAAACAAAAATCCTTCACTTATCTTCCATTTGGTGGTGGGCCACGAATCTGTGCTGGAATGCGATTGGCTGAACTTGAATTCAAGATGGCTGTTGTACAAATGCTGAGGAAATTCCGTCTTGTTGCTTGTGACAAAACTGAAGTAAGTATTCTTAATCTTCACTCATCATCTTCTTAAGAAATACAAACTCAGTATAGGGTTGTACAAAATTAAATTCCCAATTTGCAACAAGTAATTTTTATCATTTTAATTCTTTTTACTTTTGTTCAAAAAAGGTTACTTGGCATTTTCTAGTATGAAAAATTTTCCAAAGGTTATTCTTTATGAGTGAATTTTTATTCATATGATTTCAATTGATTTTTCTTTCATATTTGCAGAAAAAAATCAAGTTTTCCAAAACAGGGCATCTCAAACCGAAAAATGGAATTTGGATCAAAATTGAACATCACCAACAATCTAATGATAATGCAGCACAGGCTAATTAAGAACATCAAAGTAAATCTCACATACTTAAAATTGTTTATTCAACTTCAGACTTCATTAATTGTTAAGGGGTCCACCCCTTTTTATACAAGTGGACTTGCCTGGTGTGTACTTGTACTGCTGCTGGTGAATACTCGGGAGTGAGACAGTGAGAGTGTGAGGTAACCGCTTTGTAGGAGTCACAGTTGCGAGCACGTAGACTTAGAAGGAAGTCATACTTCGATACTGAATTTCCCAGACTGTATATATATTACTATTGCTACTAACTGCATTTCTGGATCTACTAACTGTATTACCAATGGTATTATTATGTCAATACATTTATTTGCTAGATTTCATTCCTGCGTTTGTCATTCATTTTGAGACTGGTTTTCATCCAGGAATCCACAACATTAATATTGGCAAGTTGAGGTATGGCTATTTTTGAACATGGATTCTTCTTCTCGTGTGGATTTAAGACACTCTCTTCCTCTTCTCTTGCTCTTTGATGGGTGCTTATATATCTTTTTGTCATTGCTTGTCTCACATATGCATATACTAAGCACAACTGGGTTTGACCACCTGTTTACATGTTGGAGGCACCCATTGACATCCTGTGAGATGTAAATCCACACCTGGTGCCTAGGATATCAACTTCCCAGTTAACCTGCTGATGCACTTGGTTTCTCTGATGATCTGGTATAACAATGAGTTCATAGTCTATTATTTGGAGTGAATCCAGTATATATCAGGATCAACAGGGTCCCTTATGGGACATTACATTTAAAAAATAGGGCACCTTAAATTTAATCCAGATCATTTGGTATTTCATGGCAGTAATCATATACTACAACAATACAAACATTTATTGAATGATATCTAAAACTTGATTCTAGGTAATTTGGGTGTGTTGAATATGAATTTCAAATCCGTTTGGCTCTATCAGATCCTGATTCTTGTCAAAAGCCTATGTGCCATTTTACAGATTTCTCAAATTAAGACTAAAAAATTAAGTTTTGTGTTCAAAATTTTTTTCAAGTTTCATGAATACAAGCAATTCAAATACAGTAAAATTATATTGTAACAATAGAAATGACTTTAAATCAACAACACATCTGAAGCTTTCATTTTGGCAAAAAAATATTCTTTTACAAGATTTTCTAATGTATTTGTTTGTTGATGGCAGGTCTCATTTCCAGCACCAGCAGTAATCAGCCATCATGTGGGAATCTTGGTGGCCTTGGTACTTGAATGGGGTAGGTAATATTGGGTGTTGATGTATTATTCCCACCCCTCCCCATTGTTATTATTTTTTGACTGTAATGGGGTTGATATTAATAACAGAAATTAAAATGCATAAACATACAATAACAACAATAAAAACTTGAGACTCATGTTGACATAAATAACAAGAATTTGTATTTTCTTTTTTGCAATGTGAATTACAGAATATTGGTATGATGTGTGTCAAAATGTTCTTAATGTCTCTTTTGTTTAAAAGTCAATTCTTACTTGGTTTGGTTCCGAGAATTTCGTTTGTGAGGATGTGTTTGAAATTGTCTGTTTTCAGTCTTTCCAGAACGCTGGCAAACATGTGTTTACTGCTACTTGTCTACTCTACTAATGCTATGGATACCCAAATCTACTCTACTCTACTGACTCTCTTGTGGTGGAAGGGTCATTTTTATAATGATGAGGGTACGATGATGAAATATTCTTTTCTATCATCACTGATGGCAAGCTTCTTTTTAGAATGATGAAATAGCATCATCAATTTGGACCATAGCAGTATGATTCCTCCATAAATTCTGATATGGTGGAATCTCTCCTTGTGTTTAACACTTACATGACCAAAATTACTTAGATAATTGGTCAAGATGGCTATTCAAAAAAATGCATTTTTACATTCATATTGCAACCTAACTCTTTGTAGTGTCTTACAATTTTTTTTTATGATTTCTTCATAGTTATCTGCTTTATAATTGCCTAAAAAGTTTTCTTTCACCTAAAAGAAGAAATTTTTAATTAATGTTCTTATTTGTGGGCCATCAAAAATTACTGCCTTGATATTTTCATAACTTAAACTTGAAGACTGGAGTTATGTATTTGAAACATTCAGCATTTTTATCTTTTTACATATTGTTTAATGAGACCTAGTTTAGGAGGAAATATGATTTTATCTCTGCTCACTAAAGGTGGATTAATTATTTTTTTCTCCAACAGTATGTGATGCATGTGTTGGCCAGATTTATTTGAAACAATGTTCTTCCTTGGCTCTGCTATTCCATAAGCAAAGGAAGCAAGGATATTTAGTAAACCCTTCTTGTTGTTCTAGAAGAAAATTAACCATTTTAAGTCAACACAGATGATCCACTCATGCTTCCTACATTTGATAAGATTTAAGACCTTTTCTATCTGTTCATACTTTTCTTTTAATTTTGTTGATTACCCAATCAGTACCAAGCCATATAGATTGCCATTATGAAGCAACATACACTTAAGTCTCTTTTCGTACAGTCTAAAAACAAGTGCCAATCATTTGCATCATAAGACTCAAGCCCCATCTTCTTTAACGAACCAGATATGTCACAATAATATACTTAACTATCATCTGTTCTAAAATATTTAAGTATTTCATCTCTTTTTCTGTAAAATAAAATGTATGTGATTGAAGTAAGCAAGTTTTTCTCTTTAACTCTTGAAGCTAATATTTCTGCAACCTTTTTTGACAAATTTAGATCATTCAACTCAGCCTGGTTAAACATTTGCAGATCGTTTTGACTTTCAGATATGCTGTGGTCAAAATCAGTATCTGATTCTTCAGAGTGCATTACAATATTTTCAAGAACATCTTCAACTAATTCTTGAGAGAATTAGATCCTTAAATTTTGGAATGGGGATCTCATTTGAATGTAGCACAGGTCGTATCAAAAGTTATCACCCAAAGATTTAACATTTCTGTGTTTCAACTTTATACAATTTTCTTGTAAACATTTTTTTTACAATTATATTTACATAAATTACAGTATGCTTGTGATTAAATTACATAGTTTTATGAAATCATAAACTTGTGGGAATGACAAAAGGTATATTTGAATCTGAATTCTTTGTTCAATGTTGCAGTCTTTCAATGCATAAATGTTGCGATAGATATATTGTCGTCTAAATTACAGAAAAATGAAAATAACACTGACATCTCATTTTAATATTTTTCAAAATTACACAAAAATGCTAAAAAGTAAATTTATTGAATAAAATCGCCATTGACTTCAACCATGGCTTCCAGATGACTTCAGAATCTCCTGCAACTCTTTTGGACAGTCTCCTTGTTTAAGTTGGTGAATGCTACCATAATCCTTGACTTCAGTTCATCTTTGGTGTTACAAGGAGTTTTGTCCCACACATAATAATCAAGGGAGGGTTTCAGTCTGGGGAGTTAGATGACCAGATGTAAGGTGTGATGTGGCTGGAGAAATTGTCTGACAGCCATGACTGGGTTCTTCTGATTGTGTGGCATGGTGTAGAGACCTGTTGCCAGATATAGGTTCTTCCAGCAGCCACCCTCTTGATCCAGAACAGCACTACCTTTTCAAGGCATTTGATGTAGGCCTCTATGTTGAGTCTAAGGCACCTCACCAAAACATATGGGAGTTCTTTTCTTATCAGAATGATCAGAGTGAATTTTCTGAGCTGCTGTACCTTCATAATCACCATTAGACTCATCCAACTCTTTCCAAATAATATGCACTGTCTTCAGATTGACACCCAAACATTCTGAAATGTTTGTATTGGAGCTTCTGGAGCAAATGCCAAGCTGACTTTATCTGGAGATCATGATTTATCTGATAGAGCAAAACCAAACAAAAATCTGTGCTAAGTGCATCCAAATTACATAGAAATGTCAAATCTAATTTTAAGAGACAAAAATTGAAATTATCAAAAGACAATAAAAGGAAAAAGGATCCTTTTTACTAAGCAATTAATGAAACTAACAAGCTTTCATTATTTTATTAAACTTCTATATTCTTTAATTTATAAATGTAACTTTTTACAAGTGAAAGAAAACAATAAAATACAAGTCTGTCAACATAGGATTAATATTAAAGAAGTTCATCTCGCAAAAGGTCATGTGAGGATCAAAAGGTCATTTATTGCATGTAATCCTATGAAACTTGTGTGTTTATCGTTAACTTCTCAAAGATTTTACACAAAATAGTTAACTTAGTTATAGGTGACAATAATAACAAAAAAATGTAACTATTTAGTTTGTCAAGCACAAGACCTGAAAAAAACAAAATCAATCATAGTATTCCTCCATTATGTCAGATTTTATTATGCAACTCAATGTTCCAGGATAAAATTTGTATCAATATTTGTAAAATTTTCAAGATATATCTGTTTTTATTAAAAATATTGCTGATAAATTATTTGGTAATAATAGATTTTATTTCAAAATTTTTCTTATAAGCATTTCAGGATTTTGTCAGTAGACATGATGTTAAATTTTTGTATGAGAATTAGTACACAAGTTGCTTAAATGGTTTAAAGAATCAGGACTCCCATTGTTTAAATTGTTTAAAGAATCAATACTTGAGTTGCTTAAATAGCTGCTTAATTTTTTTATTCTTGTGTTTAATAAACAGAAAAGAAAGGCATTTCAATATAATTAAACTAGTAGAATTTTTGAATGTAGTATAAAATAATGTATTTAGTAATTCTTTTTCTTTGATTTTATGTCTTTCTTTTTGATTGGTTTGGTTTATTTTGTTTAACAGCATATCAACCTCAATGGGTTATTTAATGCCTACAAAATTTTTTTATTGCTGGTAATATTTTGTTTCGTCAAAAATCTGTTTCTGGTAATATATTTTCTTCACAATTGTATTGCTGGTAATATTTTTTTTCAAAAAGTATTGCTGGTAATATTTAACTATTTGCCCATAGCTGGGACCCTAACAGGTGCTACCACCCCAGGTCAGGGTGGACCTGGGAACACCAGCAATTAAGAGGTGGTTCCATGCTC